GTTTACAAAAAAACTTCTCTAAAGGTATTGTCTTTAAGTACATTTTACTACTTTGAAAACCTTCTCTAAAGGTTATCTTTAGATACAAATAATCAAAATTTTCTATAAAGGTTATCTTTAGATGCACTTTTAAAACATCGATTCCTTCTTTAAAGAGCATATTATTTTCTTTCAACCATATTTCAGCCCTGTATTTATATATAATTATATATTATAAATAATAATATCTATCAACAAAAACAACATAAAAATCTCAAAACAATAAATTTCATACATTTACCATATAAAAGATAAGATTTTTTCAAAACAATCTCTAACGTTCAATCAATCCATACATTCATTTTTTTAACATCCTTCCTGAACTATGTACGATGTCCTCCGAAAAGCAAGTTTCTGACAAAGTACGATGTTATCTGGCAAAAGGGATACAGACTTCCACAATAAGATGATATGCCACAGACCGTGTTCCTTACCACAAGGTTATCCCCAGAAGCAAGAGTTTGCAAAATGTCTTCATCATTTTTCACTTGGAAATATATACCTGAACAGGCAGCAGACCAGGGAATAATTGAGACCAATGAAAAAACTTTTATCAAAACAACAACAAAATGTAGAATTATCCAACAACTGAATAAAAAGATTTTAAATTGTGCCAACATTCACACTTGACACTTCCAAACTACATACAGACGTCTGTTTAATGAAGGCAAGCAAAAGTTGCTAAAAGAATGAGATATGGTTCCAAAGTGATCAAGTGTAAATGAATGAGTTCTGGAAATTAGAAATTGCCAAGCAAAGTTCATTCCAAGTTTAACAAATATGAACACATTAGATATTGTGCATGGTCCTATGAACAAATAATAAAGATAAAAACATCATTGTGAATGTTATGCATTAAAGTTTGAAAGAAATAAAAGATAAACCTCAAGATGCTCGGTTCCTTGAAGTTTCTCCATGAGCTATCACGGTGTTGTATCCCTTCACACTTCAAACTCAAAAACTACCATTGACATTATATTCTCTTGGAATACCTGATAAAACACGGCCAACATTATACAAAGTATGATGCATAGCAGCAAATGTGACCATTAAGAAATGTACAAACTTACCTCTGCAGAAGACCTGTTTTCATCCCCAACAAATTGAGTGTTGGAATTGGGTTTGTGAAAACTCATCTCAACCAATGAATCTGTTTGCATTAACAAGAGAGAACTTTATAAAAAATAAAGTCTAGAACTCCACATATGCATTAACTGTGAAAAACACGTGAACTTTAAGTTGTCAAGACCATATTGCAAAAGCTCAAAATAAGTACATATAATCATATATCGATCCAAAGATAAAACATTCATATGTATATACAGTTACATATTATATTTAACCAAAAAATGATATCTAAAAGCTCAAAATAAGTATATAATCATATATTATACTGAACCGTAACTTTTGAGTCTGTTTTCAAGTACAAGAGGAAGGAAATATAATGATGAACATTATCAAAAATCCTAATTCATTAGTAGAAGAAAATTTTGCCAAACTAGTTGTGTACCCGCACAATGCGGTGGGATATAAAAGTTCATTAAAATTTATTCAATTTCGAGATATCAAAGTCTTTCAAGATGTCATAAAGCCTACAACATTTGTACTTACAGTAGAGTCAAATAACCATGTATGTGAAATGTCGGTATTAGTCGCTTCTGCAATCGTTCGTACAAAAACAAATCTTTTAAGTGGAATTTGTATAATAACAAATCCCTTTGTCGCTTCTGACTCTATTTTTAATCTGCAACAAAATCTTGAGTTAGTTTCTCAGAAGTCAGAACCAAAACATTATAATCACCACATGAACAAAATTTCGGAAAGTATTAGCTCACTTCCCCCTATGTTGTAATGGATTTGTCGGTGGTTTTAAAACCTCCTCTATCAGACACGTTTTAAAACCATGATTACAAGTGTGTGAACAAAGGGACAATATGTAATACAATCGGCCTGGGATGTTACAGTGGGTAATTATAAATTGGTTAAATTAAGGTACTACAAAGTCAACATGCACAAATTTTTACCGTCTCCTTACTTCATTTTATCATAAATTGGTTAATAATCACTCACATGATATCAGACATTTCA